GGTGACGACGAATCCTAGGAATTTTCCGCTAGACATTCCAAGGAATGATTTAGTGGGGTTCATCTTCAAATGATGACTCCTCATGAGATCGAACATCGTCTTCAGGTCCTTGATGTGATCTTCTTTGTCGCGGCTTTTCACAACCAAATCATCAACGTAGCATTCGACTGTTTTCCTGAGATGTTCTTGGAAAATTTTAGTCATTGCTCGCTGGTATGTGGCGCCTGCATTCTTCAGACCGAATGGCATCACCGTGTAGCAAAAGACACCGAGAGGCGTTCTGAACGCTGTATGCTTCTCATCATCTGGGTGCATCTTGATTTGGTTATACCCTGAGAAACCATCCATAAAAGACATTCTCTCAAATCCGCATGTATTGTCGATAATGACATCTGTGATTGGGAGAGGAAAGTCATCTTTCGGACATGCCGTGTTCAGGTCTCTGAAGTCAATACAGATTCTGATTTTACCGTTCTTCTTCATAACTGGAACGATATTAGCTAACCAGTCTGGATGTTGTTCCTCTCGGATAAATCCTGATTCGATCAACTTCTTAACCTCTGCCTCAATGGCTTCCATAATCTGCGGACGAAACCGTCTTTGCTGTTGCTTGACAGGTTTGGCATCCGGCTTGATATCGAGGCGGTGCATTGCGACATTGGGGTCGAGCCCTGGCATGTCTTCATAATTCCATGCGAAGACGTCGATATATTCCCTGATGAGAGCAATCAATTCCTCCTTCTCATCTGGGGGAAGACTGTCGCTGATGAATATAGGCTTTGGGTTGGCCTCATCACCCATGTTAATCTGGACTATTTTATCTTCAGTGGGTGGTTCTCTTTGCTCGAACCTATCACCATACTGCATATTCAGATGGTGAACCCACGGGTCTTCCCATGTTGGCATTTGATCGTCGTCTTCCATTATGGACGGATAAGCTGTAGTCATGTTCGCCATTAGGGTTTTGAAAACTTCTCCCAGACTTGTATCGGAGTCCCACTCTGAAGCATCGGGAGAGTATCCCTTCTTGGCTTTGTTAGCAATTTGATCGATAATTTGCCAACCACATTCGTCATCTGATGAAACATAACCTAAGCCTCGCCCATATTTATAATAATCCTCAGGTTTACCTTTTGGTACATATACTGCTTTGGCTGGATTACGAGGACCTCGATCGAAGTATAAACCTTCTCCGAGTGTGAAATCGTACCCCTGCTTTTCCATGAGCTTGCGCGCTTCTGGACTATACTTGGATAGATGTCGACCAGGTTTGTCATCATCTTCGTCTTCACTTAGGAAATGATCTGGTAACGGAGAGCTTTTTCCTTTACCGTAAATCACTTCTTTAGCACCTCTTACTTTGTTCGGGATGACCATGGTTGTTCCGAAAGAATGCTGGAGGTGTTCCTTCGTTACATAGGATGATCGGATCGGCATATACAACTCAGGATTGTCGTACAGCTCTTTTATCACATC